AACCTGATTGAGGGTATGCATTGTAAAGAACGTAGTAAAACCTTTACTCAACCATGAGTTAGGCCACCAAAATGGGTTGACTACACTCTCAAACCATTCTCGTATTATTTCATATGCTATTACGTGCATCACGTTATATTTGCACCCAATAGAGTCTGTTTCCTCATTATAGACAACATCTGCTTCACTAAAAAACATTTGTAAAAAATGTAATTATGTACAAAAATCTTTGTACATGTCATATTTTTAATCAAATATCAACTTAGACACATAAAAATATGCATGACTGTAAATCTCTCAATTTTTAAATATCAAACATCATATTTTTTATTTTAATAAACTAATATTTTTTTAAAACATGTACTTACTTATAAAGGATAATTCCCAAGTTCACCATGCTATCGTTTCGCTCTTGAAACTCTGGAATTACAATATAATTTACTTTTGGAAACTGTTGCAAACGCTTCCATTCTTTTTTCAAGTATAACGTAATATTTTTAGTAATTGCCAGTGCAAATTGCAAGGAACTTATTGATCGTTTGTCGCACCATATGCTAGCAATATCATCTTCATGAATGAAATTGCGAACAAAATTAGTTACAACAATTGATACAAGAAAGGGGGACATTGCAGGAGAGCTATTGAAATATGTCCATTGCATGTTATCGTCACCCAAATCCTGGTCAATCCTTAGCATGGGAATGGATATTGCTCGTATCGGCATGTTTGACAAAACCTTATAATTTTCAGAATGATATATGGAAATATCGAAGGTGGTCTTCGACGAGCTCCAACATGGAAACATTCGTCGAGCCCACATTGGCTGGAAAAGTGTTGCGGACAACCATCTATGGCATTTAAACGATGCGCATTAAATAACGAAAAAAATAACAAAAATAATAAAAAAATTTCAATGATTGTTAGTATAAAAGTAAGAGATACAGAAACCGAATAATATATTTGTACAAATGTATAATTTCGCACAAAATGATACCTAGAGAAAAAGCTTATATTTTTTCACCATATTA